ACATCTCGGCCCACCTGTGGGTCCTCAGTTGCCAAGGGCAGGGGTAGCCTGTGAGATAGGGGTCTGCCCCACAGAGGACCAGGCGAGAGAATTGAGTGTGCACCATGGGGGAGATGGCAGACCCTGAGTGAGGCCGTGGACAGGCAAAGAGGTGAACATGGGGAGCTGCCCCAGAATCAATACTGTGGTGTTAACAGTGGGGGCTCTGGGGTTTTCCTGTCAGCATTCAAATTCTGACTTTATCATCCCTGGCTGTTACCCGAGTGCCTCAGTTTCCTCACCAGTAAAAAGAGTGTAATGACGGTACCTGCCTTCTGAACTTGAGGACTAAGGGAGAGAAAGCCTATGAAGTGATTAGCACAGGGCTTGGGACATAGTGACTACTCAGCAAGTGCAGCTGTGGTTATTGTGAGGGTCGGGGCCCTCATTCCTGGCTCCTGGAGCTCCAGCCCATGCCTCATGTCACCGTCCCCTCCCACTGGGGTTTTAGGCCGTTAAGTGGTCAGTGGGAGGGTGGGATTGGAGAAGACTTGCTGCTTGCCCTTTGGGGTAGGGACTGCAGCTCCGGATTCTGGAGTCTGAGTCTTCTCAGTGGGGTTGGTGGTGACAGTAGCAGGAGCTCCGGCGCTGGGACAGCCCCTCCTGGCATCTGCATTAAGGAGGCAGCTCAGGCGCCAGCGCCGATGAGCTCTGGACTTGCAGACCCTGGCCTGCGTCCATCCAGAGGGAAAAGGGTCAGAGGACATGGTCAGGGCCACCTTCCCTCCCTGAGGACTTACAGAACCGAGCAACTGGTCTATGTAGGAGTAGAACTAGCAGGACGTGGTGACAGATTGAAGTGTGTCTGTGTGGGGGGAGTGCAGTGTGGGAGGAGTAGATAGTTCCTTTGGTCTAAATGGAGCTAAACATCCTTTTTCTGAAAGGCAGACAAAAAGGAGATATTTCCAACATAGTTATATCTCAAGGAGGTTGAACAACAAAACCATCAGGGATACCGCGAGGTTGCAGTGTGAGTGGATGGAGCGTGTGTGCGTGCACACGTTTCTGTTGGGGTTGGGATGGTGGAGTGGTCTGAGAAACACATCGGTGAGAAGCGTCAGCCTTGAAGACCAGTACACCAGTACCTTTTGTCACTTTGCCATGTTCCACCAACACTGATGGCTCTGTTGATGGTCCCTAACGTGAGTGATGACCTTTAGTTTAGTTGAGGAAGAAACTGCACATTCCCTCCTATTTCACTACCTCCTCCAGTTTTCTAAAACTTCTTTTTTCTTCCTTCACTTCATTTTCACTTCCTTCCTTCCTCCCTTGCCATCTTGAGAGGCCAGTGTTCCAACCTCAAGTCCAGTCACACCAATGGGGTTGGGTCCTGGGCAGTGGAGGCCCCTCCCCCTAGCTATGTCCTTCCTCCTGCGGCTAGGAGGGGCCCTTCCCCCTCACTAGATAAAGGTCTGAGGCTTCAGCCCAGGACTGGGCTCTTCTGGCTGGCCTGAGGGTGGGTGCAGAGCCCACTTCCTTTCTCCTTCTGAGTCTGAAACACAGACTCTGGGGCCTAGAGAACATGGATCTTTATATATGCTGCCTCTGTGAAGCTGCTAGTGGGTAGAGAGTCGTTATCTTGGCTGCAGGAACAAAGATTGGGCATGAGGCCATTCAAGGTGGCCAGAGAAGGGGAAATGAATGACCTTCAGGAAAGAGGCTTGGAACAGGAGTGAAAGGAGGCGAGGTGGGGTGAGGTCACACAAGGGACACAGCCAATCCAAGCTTTCATATTCGGCTCAGAACCAAGCTTTGGAAAGCTTGGATAGGGCCTGGGTGCTTCCATTTTCTTTATCTTTATGCTCATGGCCACTATGACTCATTTAAAAATATTATATTTAGGTCTTGCTCGTTGGAAGTATGGTAGGTACCAGTTCTTCCAGAATGAATTTATCAGTGTTTTCATCTCCACCATGATTGCTATCGCCCCCAACACCATCATCTCTATCAATACAGAGATGGCCATTGTAGATATGTACTCAGTAGACTTTTGTTGACTGAATGAAATTCAGCACTACCACCGCCATCACCACTGACACCTTCATCTCCACCACTGCCAGAATTGATATCACACCTCTGTCACTAGTGCAACCACTGATATCACCACAACCACCACCTCCACTGTCATCAATGACATCACACCTCACCACCAAGCCTACTACATCATTGACACCAGCAACCTCACCACCAACCACCAACCTCACTGACACCCCAGTTGCTTCCATCACCATCACACTGCATCACACCTCTGCCACCAACCATACCACATCATTGACACCAATATCACTGATAACCACCAACCCCATTGACATCCCCATCATCACCACCAAAACTTACATTGCCACCTCCACCACCAAACCTACACTATTGCTGACATCACCATTACCACCATCACCATCATCACTGACATTACTACTACTGTCCTCACTGACATCATTACCACTATCATTCACTGACATCACAACTCCTTCTACCCATCATCATCATCACAACCACTATCACTGACATCACTACCATCAATATCGACATTACTGCCACCACTACTAATTGTTATCTTCTCTCCTAGAACCATATTCCTTTCCTTCAGAGCACAAAAGGAAATTCGCAATTACACATCCTTTAGGGTGATTATCTGGTCCCCACTCAACTCTAAGTGTCACAGAAACAGGGATTGTGTCTCTCTTTCACCCACTGTTGAATTCTCAGTGCCTGGACAGTGGGCAGCTCACAGTAGAGACTCAATAAATGTGTGTTGAATTAACAAGTTATTTAGACCAGCACAGTCCCTAAGCTAAAGGGAACCGAGGCTCTAGGATTTTAGTGCTTCTTATAGTTCTATTTCCAGATTGGACCTTACTAGAAAAAAATAACCCTGGGTGATATAAGTCATAAACTAAGTGAGGAGAAGCCTGTGCTGGCTCCATGATATGCGCAGCAGCATGGTGGGAAGATCCTAACCTCCAGTCCACTGGCTGGGAGTGCTGCCAATGAACTGAGAGAAGTTTGGTTCTTCTAAGATCTTTACTTCCATCACTACATCACCTGGAATTTATCTGAACCTGGATCGATTTGGTGTTAAGACTTAATCCAGCTCATCTTTAAGACCAACAGAGGTTTTCAGACCTGCTCCCAGCAGGCCAGAGGTTCCTTGGAAGTACCACAGGGAACGATGTGAGGTTCAAGGACGGGTGTCAGGGGGCTCGCAGAGAGGAGGGCTCTGGGCTTCCTGCGCAAACTTCAGCCACTGGGCTCCTAGGAACAATTGTGTAACAATAGGGCACCAAGGATTTTAAAAACCAGCTTGAAAACTGTTGGTTTAGAAGGTAAGTTCTTGAGTTTTTTAGTTTTGGGATAGATATTTGGCATTTTGTATATGTTCCAATCAAAAATCATAGGGTAACTAATGCCACCAGGCCAAAGGAAGCATTAAGAAATGCACAGCTGACATCTCCATGGACTCTTCTCTTCCCAAGGCCGCAGTCAGCTCACCGAGATGCCTCTTACTCTGGTCTTTGGTAAAATGAAAACAGTTTTGTTCTTTGAGAACCGTATTCCATGCAGGAAACTTTATTTAAATAAACTGTCTCAGGAACATAAACCAAAGGAGAAGCACAGTACATGAATTTATGCATGTGTCTTCCTGCCCAGCAAATGCTGGCTCTTTCCCCACACAGAGAAGACCCTGGTGTGGGCAACAGGGACCCGCTTTTCAGCAACACCCCCTCCAGCAGAGACACAGCAGCCGAGAGACTCAGAGCCAGCCATGGATGGGAGATTGTCACACTAACCAGGGACATAGTGCCTTTTGAGTGACAGCCACTGAGAGCGACAGGATGGGAGCAAAAGGGAGGGGAGGTTGGCTGAAGAGTGAGAAGGATGGTTGTGCCTCATCCCTAAGGGCCAGGGTCCACAGCAAAACCAGTGGATCCCTCCTGCCATCCATCAGCTTCCTCTGAAAAAGATGTAGCCAGTGGACAGGGCTGTGTGTGTGCATGTGTATGTGCATACAGGTGTACACACTTGCAGAGCTAGCCCCAGCCCCCTGTAAGTTCAGTGCCTTCTGGCCAATCTCCATGTCTGCCCTTAGGGTACCCCTCAGAGCATGGGTCCCCCAGCAGCGGGGGGCTTGGGGCTGTGGCATAGTCTGGGGAGAATTGTGGCATGAGCCTCTGCCCCAGAGAGATGCTGAACTGCTCAGCCAGGGAAAAGATGGCATTCTCTAGAGAGGCTGAACAAGACTGAACCAGGCCGCAACAGGTAGTTTAGTTTGAGGAGGCATTCCAGGCTGGGAAATGAAGGTGCACCTGTGAGGAAGGCTTTTAAACCAGGAGGGGAACCATCTGCTAGCCAGAGATTTGGGTGTGTCCTTCCACAGACTGCTGGGATGCTCTGGAAAAACAACCTAACGTGTGCTTGGTGTGCTGGGAGTAAGGGGGGCTATGGGGGACTGGCAAAGCCCTGGGGTCAGGCCCTCCTCTCAGGCCTGAGTCCCAGGAGTTGAGCAAGCCTGTTAGACAGGTTTAATGCTGTCTCGCAGGAGGTGGGAAAGCTCCAGAAGCTGGTTATGCCCTTAATCATTTGCTTCCCGATGTGGGACCACCATAGCCTTTGAAACCCTCAGCCACGGAAGAGCTGCTGACCCACACAATCTCTTCCTAGCGGACACCCTCTCTCAAACCCACACAATCTCTCTCTTTACCCACCAGGTCTCTCTTCTCACTGGACCATCCTGTCTCTGCCCGTGTGCGCCCCCCTAGGAGACACATGGCCCATCACAAATCATGACTCTAGACGGCTGTTTCTGTTGCAGCTGTATTACCTACACCCTCACCCCAACACCCCAGTGGACTTGATCCTGACCTCATGGCCGAAGAACCACCTTATTCCTGTCCGTTGAGGGCGTCTGTTTGTTGCGGGTGTCCTCAGAGAAAGAAATCCTGTAATGGCTGAGGAACCTGGGGTAAAGGAAGGTTCTGGCAAGTTGAGGTGGATGGACATTGGTCTGTTGCTCTCATTCTTCAGTTCATCCAGCCAGTGACATTCTCTGAGCCCCTGGGTGCCCAGCCCTGCACCTAGAGCCACTGGTAATGAGGAGTGAGGGCTGTGTCCTCAGGACGCACAGTCTGCTCGGGGAGGTAGGAGTTGAACACACAAACAGTGGGAAGACCACGCAGAGCCATGAGTTGGTGGCAGAGAAAGTGGCACAAACTGCGTCTCTGAAGCCGAAAATGCCTCCCATGGGCTGGGCTTGGGCAATCAGGGAAGGCTTCTTGGAGGAGAAAGAGAAGGAGGACAAATACTCAGTACAACTTACGTCCTTCTGGATGAGCTCAGCATAAACCAGGCAGGCTGCAGAGATCAGCTCGTCGGCATCAAGGTCGATGAGGTTATTGCAGGCCTGTGCCAGGAGGAGGGGAGGAAGCAGGTCTCCAGGGGCACAGGGGGCAGCTTGATGCTTCAAGGGGACAAGGCCGCTGCTCACAGCAGTCATTGGGGCCACCCCATCTCTCCCCAACCAGCCTGGCACAGTGCCTAAAATTTCCCCACTGGAATTTTATATTTTGGGGAGATAGACGTAGTTTTCATACTGGACTCCAGCGAGTCCCAGGGCTCCACCGACTATCTCAGGGGCTTCTAAACAGGAGTTGTCTTATAATTGGGGTGCCACCTAAGATTTCTTTGAACAAAGTCTTCAGCTCCTCTTTAGAAATGTTGGAAAATTCTAGGTCTTTTGCCGAGGACCCTAGGGCCAAAGGGTTAACTGTGAGGCTGTCAAGCCTAATCGTTAAGAACCATTCAAGGCCTCAGTTTCCTCATATGCAAAACAGGGGTGATGATATGATGGTTGTCACCGCTCTGTGTCAGGCTTGTGATGAGGCTTAAACGGGCTAGTCTATAAAAGCACTCAGGAGTCTCAGGTCTCATCACTCTTCCTGCCCAGGGGCAAAAAGGGCTCTGAAGCCCAGCACCCCACAAACCAGGAGCCTTTGGCCAGGGATGGTGTGGGATGTCGGGGGCCTCCAGGAGCTGATGGGGCTGGGCCCGGCCCATGGTGCTCTCACCAGGAGGATGGCGTCGCCAGTCATGCTCTCCTGCAGCACCTGCCCGCGCACCATCTGCAGCAGGCTGTAGGCCACCAGCACCTGGAAGTTCCTGCAGGGCTTCCCCGTCAGCAGCACCTGCATGTGGCGGGCGGGTCTCAGCCTGGGCCCTATGGCCTGGGACTGCAGACGCCCTTAGGATGGTGAGGGACCCACCAACAACATGCTGGGGTCAGCTGCACCTGGGCCTTGCTGCTGACATGCTCATTCATTCATTCTTTCAGGCAAGTGCTCACAGCTACCTCTGGGCTTCTAGGCATTGTGCTGGCTACGGGGGACTCAGAGAAAAAGGCTTCAGGGAACTCATTAGATAGAGGGAAGGAAGAGGAGGAGAGAGAATGAGGGAGGGAAGGAGGAAGGGGAAGAGGGAGGGAGGGAGAGGGAGGAGGAGGGGAGAGGAGAGAGAGGAGAGGGAGAGAGGACTGGGTAACTGTAGCATTCGAGTGGAGCTTGGGCAAAGCAGCGGTGTATGGGACATCAACAATCCAAGGGTACCGCCAAAGGCTTGGGGTGCTCATGGAGTAGGGCGTGGAGACCAGAGGCCAGGAAGGAGGCATGAGGCAGGTGGGAGTCAACTCGTGGGGCACTGAATGCCAGGCTGAACATTGGGTGGGATCCTGCAGGCAGTGGAGGCCGTGGGCCGGGCAGTGACAGGTGGTGGGCATATTCCTGGGGAGGTTCATCTGCTGATGGCCTTGGGGACTGTGATCCAAGGACTGCAGGTGTGACGTGTCCTTGGGGGCCCTGCATGCTTCAGGAGTGAGGACTCAGCAAGGAGCTGGCACTCGGGAGGCGGGGCAGCTGGGTAAGTGAGAGCAGAGTGAGGCCAGGACAGCAGGAGAGCTGATGGCAGGCCAGGCTTCCATAGGCACAGGTGTAAGGCCCCCGCCCCTCCTGCCCTGAGAAGGTATGGTGGGTGGGACTGGATGAATAGTACTCTGGCCTCTTCTAACAGGGAGGAGCAGGGTCACTGGCCCGATGAACCCCAAGCTACTGAACTCCATCCAGACAGTGGTGAAGGGGAGGCCAGGAAAAGGGCTTCCCCCCACCTGTGTGAGGGGCCTCTCCCTTCTGTCTCCAGAGGAGTGCCTCACCTCCCAGAGCCTCCAGACGTCGTCGAAGGACTTGAAGGCTCGCTGGAAGCAGAGGCAGAACCAGGGGAAGAGGGACTGCACGGCCCCCGCACCCTTCCCTTCTGTGGGGAGAGAAGCGGGGTGCCAGCCCGAGGCTGTGGTCAGGGAGAACAGGGGATGGCATGCACCATGAAGCAAAAACACACAGCGAGGCAACTACAGAGCCTGCAGACACACTTGGGAAGTGCAGAACACCTGGCTGTCAACTTGCCAGCTGCCCTTGGAGACTGTTTAGTGTGGATTTTCAGCTGCTCAGGCTCCAATCCCATCCAGACGTACCCTCTTCCCAGGGCCTGGAGAGAAGATCGAACGACCCTGCTCCCTCTCCCCGTGACTGGGCATCGCCACCGCCCCTGTCTGCCCCGGGTGAGGGGTGTATCGGGGCAGGAGGGGGTCCACTCACTTAGGTGCTCAGCAAACATGGGGTCCAGGAAGTTGATCAGGTTGTTGAGCATGTCTAGGTTCTTGCCCACCCCGATGTTAATGACACAGCTGTGCTCCTGCGGAAGATGTGGGGAGGGAAACCAAGACCTTCTAGGCTCGAAGGCACCAGAAGAGAGGCCTGCTTCACCAGTTCCCCAATTCTGGAGGCCCTGTGTGTGTCTGGCTCTGGGCCCAGCCCATGTCTGTCTGAGTCTGGGTGTATGTGTGTGTATGTACATGCACACATCGTGTCTATGTCCTTGTGATCTGTGTGTGCAGTGTGTGTTTGTATATGTGTGTGCATCTGTGTTATGAATGTGTGTGTGTGTGTGTGGCAGGGGTGCAGAGATGTCTTAGGTGTGGTTCACAATGCAGTGAGTCCACTTACTCCTCCACACACATACATGGGTTAGAACCAATCAGGACAAGGAAAGAGCAGTGAACACATTGTTGCCAGGATAGAGAAAGGGATGAGGATGGGTTCTGGGCAGCCTCTGACAGATCATGAGGAAAGGCTTTACAGGGAGGGTGTTCCAGGGAGCAGCAACTTCAAAAGCCCTCAACCTGGACAGTATGGGTTACATCTGGGAAATACAGAGTCCTGGTGTGCCTGGAGTGCAGGTCGTGTGAAGGGAGCAGAGAGAGACAAGACTGAAGATGGAGGCCTTGAATACCTGGCTAAGGTTATTGGATTTTATTTTGGAGGCCATGGGGAGCCATGGAGGATTTGTGGGAGCAGAGCTGCATTTTGGGAAGGGAATGTCAGGAGAACATGCCATCTCCGGGCCTGGCCAGCCATGCTCTCTCAAGGTCTGGTGAGAGCATGTTTCCACCCTGCTTCTCAACTCCAATGCCTGCCCTCTCCCCCTTAGAACACACCTACTGGGGCTGGCATTGCCATCCTAGGCTCCTCTGGGACCGGAGGGCTGTTTCAGGGCTGGAGGAAATAGCTGGGGCTGCCAATGCCTGCCTAATCTCAAGGGGAAGGGGCGGGGTCCCCTGAGCCAGGCCCAGCTCTCACCGTTTTCTGAAGGAAGAACTGGAAAAGCCAGAAGGTCTCATGGTCATGTTCTACCATCAGCTGGAAAAGCATCACCATCTCATGGAAGCCCTGCTGGTACTCTGGGGTGGAGAGGGGCCAGTGAGGAGGGGCCTGGTGGGAGGGGCGGAGCCTGGGCTCGGGCAGGGAAGGACTTCCGGGAAGGAATTGGGAAGAGAGGGCTGAGGGGAGACTCAGCCCGTGGCGCACCTGCCTGGGTGTTGCAGACATAACTCAGGAGCAGGATCTTCTCTAGCTTCTTCTTGTCGATAAGGATGTTGCCCAGGGGGTCTTTGTCGTAGAGCTTCTGGATGTCATATGCTAGGTTGGGAGCAAGGGACAGGTGGGTGGCACCAGATCCCCTCCTGCACAGGGGTCCATGGGTGAGTTTATTCTTCCCACCCCAGAAATAGGACCCAGAGCCTCCTGAGAAGGGAGCTGTGAAAGGTGCATCAGCCCACCAGGCTCTACCCCTCACCACACTGTGAGCTGCCTGGGTTTTTTCCCACCTCCAAATCTTTGGCCAGGCCAGGAATGCCTCCCCTCCTCGTCCAATTCAAATCCAACCTAGTTCAAGGCCCAGGGGGGAAGAGACGAAGACAAACCAGAAGGAACAGCAAGCACCCAGGGATACACAGTGCTGTGCATCTTGGGGCACCCAGTGGAGATGGGTGGATGAGCATGTCAAGGCAGCTTTCAGGAACCCAGGAATCACCCCCTCTCGACATGACTGGGGAGGGGGCAGAGATGGCTTCCTACCCTCCCCTCTGCCCAGCCCTGCCCACCCGACTCTGCTCACCGATGTTATTCCGAGTCTCTATGAAGTTCCGGTGCAGGTTTTCCAGAAGGGGCTGAATCTTCTCGTACATCTGGCATAAGGCCTTGTAATTCTTCCTGTGAGAACAGAATGGAGGCTGAACGAGGCAGCCGTCCCCTCCTGGCACATCACGGGGCCTCTGGGCTGTACCCGCTACCTCTGCTGCTCCCTCACCTCTGCTGCGCCAGCCCTCACTGTCCTCTAACGGACTTCTGCAGTGCAGCGCGCAGATGGGCCGTGCAGTCCCTCCGCGGCACCTGAATCCTGGCTCCACAACTTAATAGCTGGGTGTCTGCAACTAAGGTCAAGCCTTGGGGATGGCACTTTCCCTCTGGAAGCCTCAGTTTCCTCCTGTGTACAGCGGAGATGATGCTGGCCCCTAGGCCTCAGGATAGGTAGGATTGGCTGAGGCAGTGTTTCGTGCCCATCTTTAGAGATGCTTAGGTGGTGTAGTGGGCTGACTGGTGACCCCTAAAAGAGAAGTTCACACCCTAACCCCTGAAACCTATGAATGTGAACTTATCTGGCAAAAGGGTCTTTGCAGATGTCAAGATGAGATAATTCTGGATTGTCCAGGTGGGCCCTAAATCCAGTGACAAGTGTCCTTGTAAGACACACACAGGAGAGACACAGGGAGAAGAGGAGAAGCCCACGTGACCACAGAGGCAGAGACTGGAGCGATGCAGCCACAGCCCAGGGAATGCCAGGAGCCGCCAGAACCTCGAGGAGGCAAGGAAGTGTCCTCGCATAGTGCCTTCGCAGGGAGCGCGGCCCTGCCGGCACCCAGCTTTTGGGCTTCTGGCCTCCAGAACCAAGAGAGAACATTTCTGCTGTTGTCAGACACCTGGTTTGCGGTACTTTGTTACAACAGCCTCAGGAAACTAACAAAGATGGGCCCTTGGGGCTCTCAGGACTCCTCAGCCGAGCCCTCTGATCCCCTATTGCCCTGGATTATTCTCTGGCTGGCCCCTGTGCGTGAATCTTCTCTACCTCAATTAGGGGGCACAGGCCCTAGGGAAGGATGGGGTGGGCCTGTGGTGGGGTGAGAGGAGCTGCTGGGATTAAGCCCGTGTCAGCAGTGTGGGGGCTGGGAAATGGAGCTGGGCAGGGTGAGGAAGGCGCTGGCACGGCCTGTGTGTGGGGCCTGGGTCGGGAGCACCATGGGGCTTTGTCTCTCAGAGTAAGAAGTTTGTTTGTGAGAAGAAGACTGAACCTGCCAGGCTGGGGTGGACACCCCCTCTCACCTGCTCTGCTACCCACCCTCCCCTGACAGCATCTGGAACATTCTACCTCCTTGTGCTGTCCACTGTGAGCCGCTCATCCTGGGAACTCTGCCATGAGTAGTAGCCAGTGAGGAACTTCCAGGCTTCCGTCCTCACCAAGGGGTGCAGACCCTGTGGTAGAAGTGGCAGGTGAGAGGTCATGGCCCTCTGGATGCCTGCCAAAAGGACCCCTTCCAATGGCATGCCTGCCCCCTTGCCCAGCCACGCCTCCCAGTTCGAGGGCAAGGCCAAGGATAACTTGGGGACCATACCCTTTCCAGGATGTTAACACAAATGAAGTCTCGTGACTTGGCCAAATGACCGTTCTCGTCAAAGAAGCCATCCCACTCTGTCTTGTCAATGGGGGGTTTTCTCTTCACCTGCCAGGGACAGCCACTTCAGCCTTCCGCTAGGAACCTTTGGCCTTTCTTTTAAGTGTGATTTTTAAATTATATACTCTGGATTTTGCAATATGATTCAAAGTTCACAGCCTCTGACTCATTTCTGGAAATACATCCTGAAGAAATTACTAAAATATGCAGAAAAATGCTATATGGACAGTAATTTTCATTGCACATTACTTACCAAAATGCAAAGTGCAAGCACTCTAAATGTCGTGCAATAAGGGAATAGTTAAGTACACTATGGTTTATATACTCAATGGAATATTGTGAGGCATATAAAATGATGCTTACAAGGAATGAATAATAATCTGTAAAAATACAAATGTTAGAAAAAAGCAGAATATAAGATTGTGTATTCAGCATCTATCCTTCCTATGTATTATACTCTGTATATCTCTGTTATATATTACAAAAGCTGCACCTTATATACTCTGCTATATAGTGAATTAACCTCTAGAAATAATTGTTAGAAAAAAGACTGAAAAAAAACCCACCAAAAAACCCACTAAAAACAAAAGTGATGACCTTTGAGCAATAGGATTATAAGCAATTTTTTTCCTTTTTTTGTATTTTCTCATTTTTCTGTAATAATGCATACTACTTTGATCATGGAAAAATATAAAATAAGCACTAATTAAACCCATTCATGAGCTCCATTTTACCTTTCCTGGAAGAGTAAAACAGTGCTTCACGAGCACCGGCTTCTGGTTTAGATAAGGGTATGTCTGTAAGCGAGCGCACTGCATGCAAAGCGATTAAAATGCTCATAAAACAATAACGAGGAGGTAGAGTTCCAACAGAAGCTCTATTCGAGAAAATTCTTCTACTGGAGAGAGGAACGCCTGGAAATGCCCCATTGCAGGCGTGAAGCTACGCTGACGGATAGAGCTTGGTATGTCTGATACGCATCCTCCCAGCTTCCCATTAATCTACACCTGGATATGCACACGTGCAACTCAGATTTAAATTTGCACAAGTGTCACCTGAAGATCTTCTTAAAATGCAGATTCTGACTCAGAAAGTCTGGGGTGGGGCCCAAGATGACCCATTTCTAACAAGCTCCCAGGGGATTGCTGCTGCTGCTGCTGGTCCGCTGACCACATGAGTAGCAAGCTCTTGAGAGGTTCAAACAGCACCGGAAATTAAGAATCAGAGTCCAAAGGCCCAAATTTGGGATAATTTCTGTTCACTCCATGTTTGATAGCAATGGATTGAGCGATGCACTTTAATAACTCATACAAGCTCTATCTCCTGAACCCTCTGACGGCCATCACGCTCTCCCAATCCACAGCCAGTCAGAGACGGCAGCCCTCATCGCGCACCGTGGCGGGAAGCAGAAGAGGTTGGGGAAGCTGGGCTGGGTCCCGGGATCCTTGATTATAAAAGGGAATGCATCAACTTTAGCAATACATTTCTATGTGAAGTTTAGTCGATTGGTCAATTTCTATGATAAAGATAGCTGTGATTTTGATGGGGATGGCGTTGAATCTATAAATCAATTTGGGGAGAATTGATAATACTATTGAGTCTTCTGACCTATGAACACAGTATATTTCTCCATTTATTTAGGTCATCTTTAATTTCTCTCAGCAACATTTTTTAGTTTTCAGTGTATAGGTTATTCACATATTTTGTCAGATTTACCCATAAATGTTTATTTTTTGGATGCTATTATAAAAGGTGTTATTTTTTAAAATTTCAACCTCCGATTGTTCATTACTAGTATACAGAAATACAATGGATTTTTATATATTGATTTTGTATCCTGCAACCTTACTAACCTCACTTTTTAGTCCTGGGAGCTTTTTTTGTGGATTCCATGGGATTTATTATGTAGGCAAAGGATCAGGAACTACCACCCATGGCCAAATCTGATCTCCAACCTGTTGATTAGAATACCGTTTTATTGGCGCACACAGCCACACCCGTTCACTCAGAGCTAAAGCAACAGAGACGCATGGCACGCACACTGAAATACTTACTATACTGACCAACCCTGATACAGATGATCAAGTTATCTGCGAATAAACGCAGTTTAATTTCTTCCTTTCCAGGCTGGATGTCTTTTATTTCTTTTTCTTGTTTTATACACTGGCTACAACCTCAAGTGCCATGTTGAATAGAAGTGGTGAGAGTAGACATCTTTGCTTTGTTCCCAGTCCTAGAGGGAAAGCTCTCAGGCTTTCATAATTTAGAATAATGTTAACTGCAGGCTTTTCGTAGCTGCCCGTTATCAGATGGAGGAAGTTCCCTTCTATTCCTAGTTTGCTGAGAGTTTTTATAAGGAATGGATGTCAGATTTTTCCAAATGATCTTCTGCATCTATTAAAATGATCATATGGTTTTTCTCTTTTTACTTCATTAGTAAATTATACTGAATGTATTTTGAATGTTAAATCAGCCTTGCATTCCTGGGATAAACTTCACTTGGTGGTGATACATTATCCTTTCAATACATCACTGGATATTATTTGCTAAAATTTTATTAAGAATTTTTGCATCCATGTTTACGAAAGATATTGATCTATAGTTTTCTTGTCTTGTAATATCCTTGATTTTGGTGTTAGGGTGATGTTGACCTCACAGAATGAGTAGGGATGCATTCTTGCTTTTCCATTTTTTAGAAGAGTTTGTGTGGAATTGCTACTATTTTGTTCTTCAATGTTTGATACAACTCACCAGTAAGGCCATCTAGGCCTGGAGTCTTCTTAGTGGGGAGATTTTTAACCTCAAATTCAGTTTATTTATCATATTTGAGGATGGAGTCAGAAGAAATTGTTTTATTTGTGACTTTAAAAATGCTAGATTTATAGGAACAGGACACTTTCTTTCTAACTCATTTTAAAAAATAAAAGCAAATAATACAAAAAACCAAGAAATTAATAAAAGCATAAGCTTGACAGAAACCCAAAGAAATCAGTTATGAAAATAAATGCATTAAATTCTCTTATTAGTTGTAAACACTTAAAAGCATCGATCACGTGCCAGGCCCTGTTCTAAGCACTTCATAGATGCTGACCATTTAATTAATCTTCACAGCCATCCATACGGTAGTTGTGGTTATTACATTGCTTCACAGACCTGGGAACTGAGGCTGTGGGAGGGTTAATCAGTACATCTGAAGTCACAAAGCAAGCATCAGAGCTGAGATTTGAACCTAGAGCTATTTGGTGCAAGAGTCAGGGTGCTTAACCCCAATGCCATGCCACAGGGAGGGTAAAAGGCGAGGATTTCAGCTTGAATAAAAAAAAATACGCATCTATACAAGCTGTTAACAAAAGGTATACCTTAAAATCAAGTGCCATAAAAAGATTAAAAATAAACGATGAACAAAGATATGAAAAAAAGGTCAAACACAATGAAACGGTAGAAAAGTAATCAAAGTAATGTGCACAACACACCATCATAAAAGATACGGCGTCGGTGCGGCGAGGCGGAGAGGAACGGAAACACTGCAGGCAGGCATCAGCTGGGGGTCAGAGGTTCCGCGTTACCAAACCTCCACATGCACAGCTGGCCGTCTGCCTTCTTTGTGGGGCTGAGTTCATTTAGGAAAAGTCACTGCCTGCTCCTGCGGGAAACTCTATTTCTCTAGCCACACCACTTCCCTGTGTCTCCCCAAACCTAAGCAAACTACAGGCCACACATACGAACATCTAAAACATTTGCTTGCAAGCCAGGGGCAAGTACAGAAGCCTGTTGACCTGCAGGGGGCTAAAGGGAAATTTTCCACATGGAAGGCCCCTCCCTCTCTTCTCCCTGTACATCCACACTGTCTGTGCCAGAAACCATGGAACCCGTATCTGGGGTCCTTCAAAGTGACGGCGATTGTCAACTCAATAGCCTCTCGAATCCATCTTCATCCTCCCATATTCCCCCATTCTTTGCTCCACTGACCTATGAACGCCCTACCTCACCATGTGGGTACAACGAGCTGGTACCCAGAGGGGGAACCACGTAGCCTGTGAAGTGCTGGATGGCCTCTGGCTCTGCAGCAGTTCCTTTGCTAGTCTCCCGGGAAGAGCACCACTGGGGAGAGCAGGTGTGGAGATCTCCCACCTTCACGGTGGACTCCCCACCAGCGAACCTGGGGGAACCTTAGCCTTGCCTCATCTGGAGAAGGAGGCCAGAAGCGGGAACTGCAAGGGGCTCGCTCTGTCTAAGAGCTTCCTGCTGCTGGGGGCCTGCATCTCCCACCCTCCTTCCCCTTCTGCATCGTTGGGTTAAAGATTTTCTCTAATATTTTTAGTAAAATAGGGAAGCCACTGGAAGATGAGGAAAACTTTCTGTGAGGGCTTCTGATGCCACTGCTGCAAATGCTCACAGCAACAAGCCCTCAGCAACGCCTGGGAAGGGCTGTTGCCTGTGCTTAAGGTTCTCAATTTTGTTTCCACTTCGTTCACCTGAGGGACCAGACGCACTCCCCTCACCTGGGGGAGGGGGAGGGAGCCCAGGGAGGGCAGGCATAGTAAAATCGGGAGGGGGGTCCCTGTGTGCACTTGAAAGGTCCCCCCAGATGATTATTATCAACCCAGGTGCAGGGGGAGTGTCATCAGTGACTAAAAGAATGGTTTAAAACAGTGGTTCTCAGGCCGGCCTGGTGGTGCAGTGGTTAAGTGCGCACGTTCCGCTTCTCGGCGGCCTGGGGTTTGCCGGTTCGGATCCCGGGTGAGGACATGGCACCACTTGGCAAGCCAGGCTGTGGTAGGCGTCCCACATATAACGTAGAGGAAGATGGGCATAGCTGTCAGCTCAGGGCCAGTCTTCCTCAGCAAAAAGAGGAGGATTGGCAGCAGATGTTAGCTCAGGGCTAATCTTCCTCAAAAAAAACATACCAGTGGTTCTCAAAGCTAGCTGCACGTCAGAATCCCCCAGAGGGCTTAAAACACAGATCGCTGGGCCCTACCCCCGAGAGTTGCTGGCCCAGAAGATCTGGGGCCCAAGAATCTGCATTTCTTACAAGTTCCAGTTGATGCTGATACTGCAGATTTGGGCACCACACTTTGAGAATCACTGGTTTAGAAAACGGACTCCACAGCCCACCTGCCTGGGTCTAAGTACCAGCTCTGTAACTTAGTAGCTGTGTGATTGCAGGCAAGTTACTTAGTCTCTGTGCCTCAATTTTGTCATTTATAAAATGAAGAAAAAAACATCATCCGCCTCATAGGGTTGTGCTGAGAATAAATGACTAAAAATAGAGCATTTAGAACAGTCATTGTACATAATAAATGCTATGTGACAGTTTGTTATTATTATCTTTCTCTAAGTTCAGAGAAATGAAGAAAGACAAAGAAAATTCAAATCAAGGCCTGGTGATAGTCTGCAATAAAACAGTAACATTTAATACTCAGGGAGAGAGGTGCCCATTTTGCATTTCTGATTTTTTAATGTATCACTCTCCTAATCACTATGATTAATGACACTTGAGATTGGTTAAGGTCATTATAGTTATTATGATTTTGAAAAATATACTACGTGGAAAATCTTTGTGACTGAGGCTGACTTCTAATGAATAGATGTATCTTGTTAACTGGGCTTGGCACCACTTACTAACAAAAGCGTTACTGCCACCTGGTGGCAGCATACCAAAATTGTTGGCAAAAGCACCAAGGTAAATTTATCACCGTCTTCAAGAGACAATTTGCAAAACTAAGACTCACTGAAGTTAGAAAGCCACATATAGGGAAAAGGTAACACTGGCTTAGAGAGAAGGGTGAAAGGGGCCCGTGGCTTCCCAGCCCCCTTGTTGGTGCTGATAGTGAGACCAAAGTACGACCTACCCTGCTCCGCCTTCTAGGCCACCTCAAGGTCCTAGTCCTTCCCACCCAATAAGGGAAAATGAGCCTAACCAGAGGCTGGGGAGGGCGGGACTTGGGCTGAAGCACACGCACCAGGATGAAGGAGGCCGACCGCCTGGCAGAGATGCTGTTTTCCGGGGAGAGGGTGGTCATGGCCCCTGCTCTCTGTCTTCAAAGTAGCCTCTGGCTGGAGCTCACCTGGAGCCCTAAACGATGCTAATTAGCAGGGGAAGGTGATGTTCTTTTTGGGAGATGAGGTGCATTCCCAGGAACAATGAGCCACTCCTGACCTCCCACACTTGACCAGAGCCACTAACAGTGTGTCACAAGGTCCCTAGAACCCTCATCACAATGACCTTGGAACACAGGCACACTCAGCTTCAGAGGTAAGACGTGCCCAGGACCCAAGGAGACAAAGCCACCAGTCAGCCAGAAGAACTGCGGCGCACGCAGGGTGTTCAGCGGAGGTGGGGGTCAGAGGAGAGGCAGGCCAGGGTGCCAGGCTCATCAGGAGGGCAGTGGACAGGCAGTCTTTCTCCCTGCCCCTGCTCTTCCTCCTCGGGGCTCCCTTCACTCGTTATCCCACCAGAGCAGAGCTCAAACCTGGGAACACCTGGAGTCCGAGCTTCCGGTTTCTCGGGTGCCACCTCCAGAGACTCAGAATCAGCACGTCTGGACTGGGACCGGGGGACTGTATTTTGAAAAGCTCCCTGGGTGACTCAGATCCAGCATTTGAATAGTAGCTTCTGGGGGTAGAGACCAGTTTTATTTATTTTTATGCCCAGAGCACTTAAGACAGTGCCCAAGCAACCGAATGAATGATGTAATTAAAGGGAAAAATAAATGAAGCTCCCTTAGGTCTCATCTCACTTTCCTCTCTGTATGTATTGCATGCCCAGTCTCCCCTCCTACCTGAATTCCTGTAGGCCACGGTCAGTGTCTGATTCTTGTGTGCTTTCCCCTCCTACTGCCAATCCGGCCTCCTGACACTTGGAAAGTGCTCAGTATTTGATGACCGAATCCAAGGAATCGGCTCCTCTTGGTTCCAGCCTCACCAGTTCTCCACCTTAATTAAGCATCGCCTGCATTCCTACTCAGGTCCTGGCCATTAAAGCCATCTGGTCTAAAGCATCCTTAGTCATTAGGAGCTGATAGTAACTAAATCAACCAAATTGGAATCAGGAGCTTGGAGTTGGAATTTGGACTCCAACCTCAAATTTGGATGTTTCCCCTCTTCTGAGCCGTGGGTCTCCAGCACTGAAATCAGAATACAGTCAACCTCGGGCTTTCTCGTCTTTATGAACACAATGAATCAGCATCCACATGGAAGTCTTCAGTGGACACAATTCACTGCCTCACTTACTGTTACTGTCCCGCTAGCTTTCTGCACTGCAGGAGGGCTTTTAAATCAGAACGCCTTCTTCTCTGCCTCCCTCCCAACCTGGGAAAGCATCATGGCCTCTTCCCCTTAGTCCGCCCCTAGGTCTTCACGGAGCGGGAGGCAGACGGCTTTGAGTAGGAAGGGGGGGGAGGGGATGAGCAGGGGACAGCTTCCTGCAGCAGGCGCCTTCACCCTGAGGTCTGCGAGAAGCTTCCAAAGCAAAAGTCCAGAGTGGGAGGCGCGGCATGAGCATTACTCACTGTTTGGGATTATCTCCGCCTCTGTTCCTCCACATTGACGACATCGGCAGCTGAGAATTAACTGCAGTTTTTCCCTAAAAAGCTGAGGATCAGGCAGGGAGTTGGAAAGTCTGCGTGCTAGATCCTACGTGGCTTCTGAACTGGACGTGATAGACACAGATCATCTGCTGAACTTCCTTTCACCTCTGGCTCCCTGTCTGCGAATCCAAGATAATAATTCTTCCCCAAATGAGCCAAGATAGTTTGGTCGTATTGCAAAAGCCTCATAGCAACCACACGGAGGCTTAGTGTTCAAAGGGAATTGCAGGACCCTGCGCTGAAGCGAGAAGGGTTTTGATCCCTTTTTCTGATTCTCACCATGGATTGACATGTGCCAATCTCATTTTCTCCAGGGCTGAATGGTCCTTCCCATGTCCATGAATTGACATAATTTCCCAAATTCTTTAGATTCCCCTTTATCACTTTTCTTTTACACATTTTCCACTCAACAGGGGAAAATGGCCCTAATGCAAACCAGAGTTTGGGGAGCCCAATTTTCTGCTTTAAATTTCTGTACATGGTGATCCTTCGGGGCATGAGAGTCCCAGGTTTAAAATATTGTTCTTGGTTTTGGAGTGTGGGCTACAGAGACCTAGAATTTGCATTAAAGTGCTGGGAGCCAGGAGCAAGCCTCCCAGCCCATCTTTTCTCTGAGGAAGCTGGCTGGGCCTTGGCTGAGGGCCTTGTGGTGGTGAGGCGGGAGGCCAGGCTTGGAAGGCACCTGGAGAAGACCTTCTCATCCTCACAAGAGCACTTGTTCATGCAGTGAGAGATCTCACAGCCTTTGGTGCCAGGAAAACCCGGGTTCAAGTCCTGACCCTGCCACCTGCCAACCATGTGACCTTGGTCCCACTTGTTGGGAAAGGCCGTCTGTGCATAGTCTTCCCACCTCTGCTTAGCTGCCTCAGAGGGGGCTTGGGGCTGGAACACCTCCTCACCAAGAGGAGCCCTCACAGCCTGTGCTGTGACTTACCGCCTCGTCTGGGCATGTCTTTCCCCGTTCCAGACTCAACGTCTGCCCCTTTGTTCTGCTAGAGTGTGTGCATCACATGGCGCCTGGCCAATCCCACCGCTGTGCCTCTTTCTGGCAGGGAGAGAATGGGGCCCTTTGCCTGCAGCTTGAGAGGGGTGTGTGCAGACCGTGGCCCTGTGTTGGCTGTGGGTTGAGAACCCGTGTCTGGGGGGACTGAAGGTGCCCCTGCTCTGACTCTTCTCTATGTGAGTAAAACGCTGTTACCTCCAGGGCCAGTGTGAGGAGTGTCCTTCTTGGCACCTGCAAATCATGGACTGGGTTGACATTCCTGGGATGCTGCCCCTGGTGGCAGGCATTGCTGCGCTATTTGCTGTGCTCCGTGCAGGGGGACTCCTCCCAGAGGTGTCATTTTCTTGACACTATCTCTTACCTTTCTGAGTCCCAGCATCCTCATGTTTCCCAGGGGGCATGATAATATCTCATGGAACTGAAGGGTCAGTGAAGCAGTGTGTGTAAAGAGCCCGGCCTGGGCCTGGAGCACAGGTGCACCCAACCCGTGGTAGTTATTATTAACCTCAGCATCCCCATTATTATTGCTAATGCCCAGGACATGTCCAAAAAATTTCTATGAACTAGACTTGAGCCAAGATGCTGCCTGCTTCCACGAGGCTTGTAGTAACATCAATACAAAAGTTCAAAGATCCCGGGAGCCAGGCCGTTTCTGCTGCTCTGCATTTCTCCAGGAGCCTAAGGAGCAGAATAACTATAAAAGCGGGTGAGGCCAGCATTAGAAATCGAGTTCACTCCAGTTGCCTTCATGTCAACGCAGCACGACACGACTCTGAAATGCAGGGCGGCCACGTCCCTGTTAGCCCTGTTAGTTACCTCTTAGCCCCTTCAAAGGACACTACCTGTGACTGTCTTTATACCAAGAACTAAGAACTCTAGTTCTTGGTATAAATCACATGCATTCTGATTTTATTTCATTATAAAGTGCCGACGATCTTTCGTGTTCAAGCTGTCCTTTTCTCTCTGCCTCCGATTGTGGGGAACAGGGATAAGTTTAGATTTTCAGCAGCAGGTTTCCTGCCCTCGCCCCCGTGGAGCATGATGTTTCTGACAATGCTAGAGACAGCTGCACATCTTGTGTCACTAGCAGGAGAGGAGCAGAGGGATGGGGCTGCCGGTGGAGACAGCTGTCTTCCGAGCATGAGGTAGTTGGAGTTCCCCAGAGCAATAGCCAGCCCAGCCACCTTGAAGTCCCCTGAGTTAGTTGGAGTGCCAAGGGGTTATTTGCTGCATTTTGGGCCCTCTCCATGTCTTGGGGAGCCCTCACTTGCCCCACACTTCTGTTGAGTCAGTTGAAGATGACACCTTTGTCACCTCCCATCCAGCTGCCATGCATGCCAGAAATAACCCAAAGGAGCAATTCTGAGCAGAAGCCACCATAGTCAGCAATAGAGAGGCCGCCAGCCCCTCCTGCTCTGAAGAGGGCTTGCTCCTTAGGGAGTCCTCACCGTGATTCTCCTTGCCCCTTGCCCCCAGCCCAGGCTCCTGGGGTACCACCAAGCACATAGCTCTGACTCTCTCTGAGCCCAGGCTGTGTCTTTCTTGCTGCCATGTCTACTGTTCACTTGGCCCCCAGAGGCCCCCTTCTGTCCCTGGACATCCCAAGCGCAGCTGCCTTTTATAGGATACTAGCTGTATAACTCAGGCGAAGTGCTTTATATATATATATCAGTACGAACCTTGGCAGCCTTGTGAGGGCAACAGAAGCTCAGAGAGTTTAAGTTATTTGCTTGGAATCACCCAGCTGGTAAGTGGGGGAGCCAGGAACTGCCCAGCTCTACTTAGCTTTGGAGAGCCAGGCCATCTCTGTGTCACATGCAGCTGCCTCCCCCATCCGGTTGGCAGAAGTGGGCATCTTTAACCTCTTGCTGGCTCAGAGGACTGTGACCCCACAGCCCAGTAGGAAGGGAGTTTGTTTGCTGTAACTGCTTCCCCAGATTTTACAATTGTTATTCAGTCCAAAACCAGAATGTGTAGTGATGGTCAGGGGAGGGAGTGGGCGAGTGTTACAACCTACCATACAAAGAGGATGGAAGGGGTGAAATGGAGAGGAAAAAGGATGAGAAATTCCAGCTAATTCCAGCACTGCTAATGGAGAGAAAGAATGTGGCTAGTCACATCTCTGAAGGCTATATGTTCCAAAAGGAATTTTTAATGAAAAAATAATGCATTTTCCCTGCTTCTTAAATTGGGGGGAGAACGGAACGAGTGGAGTGTCCCAGCGCAGGGAAGAGCAGCTGTCCGTGTCCTCTGGCCACTTTACCTGAGTCACTTGCCAGCACCCCCGTCCCCAGGGTGTCCACAAAGCAGGGCTCCTGCAGAAGGCACAAGAACAAGCCATGTGGGCTCCAGGAACACCAGTGTGGACTGAGGCCTGTACACCTAATTCCTTGCCACCGTCAAAGCTCAGAGGGGTTCTCTCCAGCAGCCCCGGGAGGCCTTCCTGGGCGAGGACCCTGCTGTTTTCTTCCCCATTCCGTTCTCCCCACTGGGGAGCCGTGGAGCTCAAACCCAGGGTGTAAAGCTCCTTGTGTGAAATGAAGGCTCAAATCTAACAAGCCAAACAGATCTGTTTGGTAACTGTGGGTTTTGGGGGATATGAGCCCCATTC